GTGTTTTGGAATTATTTAAAACTTTTCTATCATTTTTAATTGCCACAGATGCATTTAAGATATGAATTTCGATCTCGGTGTCTATAAATAGATAATCTATATACCTTGTAGTTCTGTGTGGGACCTTATAATTGCTCCGTCGTGATGGATAATGATAAAGTACGTTGGCTGAAGCAATCCGGAAAGGTTCAACAAAGATTTTTAAAAGAAATTGACAGACATGCTCGCTTGCTTGAAAGATTACAGTCCTTTCCCATCACTATGTCGTCAGGGTGGTAACGTGAGACGTGGTAGAAACGCTATAAAATATCGGTGTGAACATGACAAGGCAGCTTGTAGCCGTAGTTCAGCCTTAAGATTTATGTAAATATTTTAAAAAATAAGTTAATATTGAATTTGTTTTTTAGTATGTTTGTATTTCATCTTTACCATGCGTCGTTCAATAGCCATTTAAAGTGTAGAACTGAAAACTGCAACATATATTTCCACTGATATATGGCAATCAATCATGTGCTAAACGATGTTATTTTAATGAATGTATAATAATGAATAAATATCTACATTTAACTTCAGGAAGCATGTAAATTGATACCTCAGATATAGTTACTAAGCGAGTTTCTGGAGTTCATGACGTCACGCTTAGTTTGTGGGTAATGTTTTCCGTTTAAGTTAACTTGTACTTTCGGGCCCCCTCTGACAGGAAGTCAAGCCCCCAGCATTGCGACAAACAACTTGCAGGGGACAAATAATTCTCAAAGCGGAACAAAATTGAGTTGATGTGTCTAATTAATATCCTTAGCTGGATAGTTCCTTACTAGGCTGCCTAGGGAACGTCTACAGGACAGGCCTGTCCCGAGGTGACATACCAAAACAGACCACGATGATATATGTTACGTATCCCTGTTGTCTCGCTATGTATATTGTTGGACAGATGCGTCATTTTATGTTTGACTGATCACAAGAGATAAAGCCTAGTAAAACTGTTTTAACAACAACGATGTGCTTCATCAGATTAATCAAAAACTTTTAAAGATGAGGATGAATCTGACGAAAGGCTATGTCTGTAGAAAGCAGCATTTCGAATCCAAAGTTCATGTATTATCCTGTATCGGGAACCAGAACTGCATGAATATAACCTAAAGCAGACTGTAAGAAACAAAAGAACACACAGAAGGAGTTTATCTATATACTTATTAATATCAGATAGATTTTTCTATTTATTCATTTTCATTTAATTGTGTTTTCCCTAACGAGAATATCTCCTTGTTTGACATGATACGTAGTCACTGGATATACAGATAACGCCGTGCTCGTGTCGTGTACACTTTAATGGTGGTTTGGTGTTAGATATTGTTCTGGGGACGTGCAATATTATAACAAGTAGAGTGCCATGTTTTACACGTGTAAGTCTGTCTCTAACTAATATGGTACGCGTACGGCTCAGTTAAGCACTACCCCGCCTATTCTACAACCGGAAGTCGTTTTTTGTATGTTTCTTTTGCGTGTTTTCAATGACACACGGATTACTAGCGTTATTTGTATATACCACTTAACGTTCTGTTCGTGTCGAGCCAAATAACATACCGTAATACAACAATGCGGAGCCTGTCTGTCTGTGCTGGTCTGCGCGAATAATCAATGAAATCCTAGCACACCTATATTTTTTCCATACAAACGTGTCTATTCGTATTCTGGTAATTGCACTTACATCCTCGGAATGATACATCTCTATCCTTTATCGTGTTTACGGTTTAACCAGAAAACTAGCGATGATATTGAAGATGACATTTTCTGATAACACCAAACGGCTTTCCGCGTGGGAGGGTCATTATGAGGTCGTTTAATTTTATTATAACTATGATAAATATATCGATAGCAGAGTACGGTATTCCAACCATTTTATATCCTTTCATTTGAGTTTTTCAATAACATAGATACTTGATTTTATATTAGTTTTTAATCTGGGACAAAATTTTACTGTTTCTTCCACTTTTCAGCAGTCTGAACAAATACTGTTATTTTTTAAATGAAGAAATTGCAGAAGTTAGAAAAAATACATATGGAAGGAAAAGTATAAGGTAAAGATAAAAATATTTAAATACGACGACACTGACCAATCACGTGCCAGTATCAAATACGACGACATTCCCATTCTTTACGTCAAGAGGAGATATCTGAACATCAATTTAACATTATTTTACGAATTAAATTAACATTTTAAGAGATATAGTCCTGAAAATAAATACAACTTGAGATTTGAGAATTGAGACCGTTCTTTAGGTTAAAATTTTGTGTGATCCTTTGTTATATGTTTTCCCGTTCACACTCTGTGGCTGCCGAGAAGTTCTTTGAGGCCTAAACTAGTATATCTATAGTATAAGTACTACAAGACGACGAAAGCAACTAAAGAAACGAGAACTTATCAGCCATTGATGTTCACCGATTCTTGTGAAACATTTGAGAGGTATTGACATGTCATGATGATTTAAGTGCTACATAGAAAAGAACATTTAAAACAGCCACGTTCACTTATCTAACGGTCTCGGGTTTCAACTTCTGTGGAAGTGATAACATAGGCGGTTTTGTTCATGACCGTTTTGAATTCGAGACACGGGTGTTGGTTCAATTCGTTGTGTAAAGAGAACAATTTATATATAATACTTGTCCCTATGACAGTGTGCAGGTAGTGACATCTAAACGCCTACACTTTATCCACTATATCGTTCCGTAATATTGTAAAATTGAAACGTCCACTTGAGGATAGATTCGTCGAGATTACGTCGAAGGCGTTAGTGATCATCTTTATATAGAAAATGGATTTCATTTCAAAGGAACATTAACAATATAATTTTGTGGGTTATTTTTAGGAGCTCAGTGAGCCTCCCACACATGCCCGTTATAAACTTGGTGATGTTTTGACAAAAGTAGAATTCCTTTAAACGGTAACTCTAAGACGGTCCAATTACCTTGTAGAACTGGTTCTGCAATGAAAGTTTTTGGAAATTTCTGTAAATCATCCGATAATGATTTGACATGACTTGCAGATCTTTGGTTTGTCAGGTTCTGGGTAATTTGACAACAAACAAAACATGCTTTTACAATTGTGTTATGTCATAACACGAAAAGAAGGTGAATTATAATGAAAACAACAGTTTTAATTTGGTAGTACGGCCACTAGTGCTGTTCTAGAGTAGGCCGCAAGCTAGAGATACACATCCACAATAACGAATTACGTTCTTATGGTGTATAATTGGCATGTAAGTCTAGCTTGCCATTTGTTACAAAATTATATTTTTCCATTATACATTAATAAGTAGTTCGATATCAGGTCGTAGACAAAGTTGGGGCTATGCTTTACGGATATGAGAGACATTTTAGTATAGAGAGGGTAGTATTACACATACAGATAGATTCTTGTGTAGTTGTTTTGTTTTGTTCCAAACGATACATATCAGTTTAATTGTCAGGATCATATCAAACGTGTATGATTAATAACATAAATAGTCGAGGTAAATATCCGTCAATCAGAGATGTACAGGTACTATATCTAGGGCAAATATATCAAATGAAAGAGCACATTGGATATCCTGTCTATCTCTGTTACAATGCCAGAAGTTTTTGATTTAATTAAACAATCTAACATATCGGGTTCGGAAAAGATTTGATTGTTTCCATTCTACCTGGTTTTTATGAATACCAACATAATATCTAGGTCATTTAAGTTAATATTAAAAGACAATCGACCGACCGGTCAAGCGAACGTTGCTCTCAAAATTTCGAATGTTCTACCGTCGGGTGAGCGCCAACGTCTAAACTTGACGAATGCATTGTTACTGAACAATAACGAAACGGTAGTCCCAGACATAGGAAACATGATACTGGCGACCAAAGTTACCTGTCTGGGCCCTGTATCCGTCAAAAGGGTCAGTCCCTCTCACGTGGTGGACAATCGCCAACATTTCTGTAGATCTGGACATGCATGTAGTTTCTTATGTTCCTGGTCGTCCGTGTTCTCTACAACAGGTGTCCGGATTTTATGATGTAAACTGATATGTTGCATTGCTTAGTCCATTATTAAGAACTGTATTGCAGCAAATTTGCCTTGCGTAACCAGCGCAACATCACTGAAGGAGCACAAAACACGTATCCTAAAAAAATAGTTAGGTCACATTGTTACCCCAAATTCGTGTGCATGCAAATAACAGTAATCAAATAAGGCTCTTAACAGCCCCAAGTTATAAACATTGATATACATAGTAATAGAATATACTTCATAATTAGACTGTATTCAATTTTCAATAAGTTAAATTAATAAACCTAACAATCCCGAAATCTCGTAAGGAAGCTGCGCAGATGTGTACTCTTTTACTATGACGCGAAAACAACACTTCGCGAATTCATAGCTTCATACAGTATATCTGAATACACGCCACGCTTATGGGTATTTTTTCAGAAGCCATATGCTTGTTTATAAAAATAATATTATTATTCGTTAATGCCTCCGACAGGTGTCAATGAGTCAGACCTGATCACGATAGTCAGGTAAAACAATGCTAAACTTGTGAGAACAGATCGACAATAGTAGAAACTAGCATGCGTGAAATCGTAGGAAAGAAAACGCCTGTTTAGAATTGTAGAAAAAGGTTTTATACGACACGAAATTAGAAAGTCCTCGAGTAACGCGTACTTCTGTGTGCGCCTGAATGCGCATGGATCTAGTTTTAGGTCTAGACAGTAAACCGTTTACAATACTCCCTGTATTCTTTGACTAAAACCACATAACGTCCACCTGTTCTTTTAAAATCTCCCCCCTTTGAGAAAAATGATATTTATTATTCAAGTTTATTTCAAAACGCATTGCACTATATCGTGAACAAAGTGTGGAAGTACCTGATAAACGATCAGAGTGATGCGGCCTTATTATTAATCCGATGGTGACGTACTTAAACTTTAATAAAGTACATTGATAATTAATTCGATTTTTGTTTCATCTCTTCCAGGTGGCGAAGAAGCAGAAATACCGTTTCTCTCTGCTAATTGACGAACTGAAGTCGGCAGAGAGTGTTGAATATAAGACCATTCTTTTGGAGTTCATCAACTGTATAATAATATATACCCAAAAAATAGAGGATCGAATTCGCATCCGAAACGAGTTCTTCGGTAAGTATTCAATAAAATATAAAACAATTATGTATTCATATTTTAATTACACTGTACTACTCTCCTGGTGATGAAAGTGCAAGAAATTAACCTGATATCAAAATACATGATTTATAAACGGCATGCAGCAGCTCGTTTGTCGGGACTTCTTACTTCTGTTGACACGGTATATTCTGTATTTAAGTGTTGACACATTTGTTCTATAATAAAAAGGTGTCGCAGAAGTTTTTAACTGGTGCTCTAAGGTCAGTAGAGAAGCGTTTTTTATACGAGTGTGTTTATATACTTGGTACATTGTTTATTTATGGAATTTTGCAGAGATCTAAGTTGAACCATTATGTGTATTTATCTCGGAGGGCGATCCCCCCAAAAATGTGTTAATCTTAAACGCAAAACTAGATAAAACGAAATGAATCCTTTCTAAAGTTTATGTGAAATGAAAATATATAAAATCAAACCCTGCTGTTGATTTAGTGAAGTTTTATTGAATTCGTAAAGTTCTGTCAACAGCAAGGCAAAGCTCTCAATTTGTTAATGTGTGAATTATGTTGAACGGAAGACTTAAAATAAACTTTAAGTATTGATACGAAATCCAAGTTTGTAAAACTTTCCTGTCCCCATTACTCGGGGCTATAAATGACAGAGGACACATAGCGTTCCTTTTAATCTCTTCTTCTTAACGAAATTCTAAAATGTTTCGTACAAGCTTTTCACCAATGGACTATTCCAGCTTTTCAAACGGACGGACCTACTAAAATTGAAGGAAAGATAGGATATTTCTATCCATCAAATTTAGAGTCTATTTAATCCCGTAAAAGTAGGTAATATTTTAACCGACATTCTTCCCCGCTGGCCACATGTACTATCTCCCACAGAGCATGTCGTGAAGACCATAACCTAATTTTCATTTTATGGGAACATTGAAAGTAGAACCAAGGTTAAAATACAATCTCACTACGTAACATGTCCAGTACACCTACTTTAAATTTGAAGACCCCATTTTAAGTATATTTGATGTACTTCACGGCCAGTGAATCGACGAAGGGTATTACGGCCTACTTACCTACACAATGGAACCATGAGCAAGCATTATACATGTACACACGGGTCCAGCGGCCACAAGCTCAAAGTAAACCTGACAATGACCATTCATATTAAACCAACACGGTCACTCGATCTTATATCAGGTCCATTCCTAGTCTACATTCTTTCAGCAAGAAAAATTACAAATTTGTACCCATCACAACCAATGTCCTAATTCTCTTATAAACATAAGGATCCCACGGACAACATGGAAACATTTTCTAAAGGGGAAAAATGTAATCTTTTATTTAGAGTTTGTTTTCACCTATGTTGTATACATTCGTGTTAACCAAAATTGCAGAATAAAAACGGAATAAAGATGTTTGATTATATTAGTATAGGTTTGTGACAGGTAACCGTCGGGTAAATGGCCGTTTAATTTGGTATTCAAAACTGAAAGTAAAGTACATCCATTTCGGCAATTCTCCAAGATATGTTTGATCGCAAATAAACAAAAAAAGTGTTGTTTATGTGGTGCTGCGATAAACGCCCATTTTCGTTAAAATATTTAAATTGAATTGCTATTTCTAACACATTATGGTGTAGGAGATTCACTTTGTTCAGATGAGCTGATACATCTCGGGTCGGACCGCGTGTAAACGTTACAAGTCAGGTTTTATTACCACATATGACTGCAATACACAGAACCTTTCAATTTGAGTACCTCATTAAATATCCAATACATAAAAACCATCTCAGAATCATGGGAAAATATGCAGATACGACTCCTAGTTTTAAACATAAATTAAGTAAAAAATAATGAAAATAATTGTATTTTTGTGTATTTATGATGTACTTCAAAACTTAAATTCAACCATACGTATGATGACAGGTGTGATTTTCACACAAATAGAGCGTGTGGACGCTATAATGATTCTATCGACGACACAGGGATACCTGCAGCTGGTTATCCGGGGCCCTATTCAGATAATCATCTCCTCACGACTATCATAGTATTTCGTCAGATCTCACAACCCATCGAAAGATTGTTTACTGGCCGGGTTTTTAAGTGAGGGTAATGATAATGGGAGCAGTCTAGTACAGAAACATCGACATTTTAAAATTGATACTTGTACTTTCTAAATGTGTCACGTACAGTGATTCAAAGAGTCGTATGTCTGCTCCCGTATCATGTATTAATCCAGAATGGAAGGGTTTCAACAAACCTTTACAATGTTATGGAGTTAATGGCTACCAACTCCCCTACATCGAATCTCCTTCACTTTCACTACAGGTATTACCGCTTTTATTACAAACGCAATGTTTTAACTTCTCTATATAGACTATCTTAAGGTCTACATCACACATTCAAGGTATCAGTATCTAACGTCTATATCAGACACTCAAGCCTTAAAACTTCCTTTTTATAATATTTCAACTGCTTCACAACATATATACAATGTATTTTAAATTATCATGAGGAACAATGACAGCCCGGTTTTCTTTTAAGGACACATGCATTTTGCGAAATAGTACATTATTCTATTTTCTCGATCTTGGAGAAATAATTTATAGCATTCTTGGCCCTTGTTCACTATTACGTAAGTTCTTTGAAATGAATTATTTTCCTCCCAGGTGAGAAACGTTTAACCTTGGCACATTAACAAAGATGAAAGTTGCCAGCAAGGCAAGCTCCAAACAGCCTTCAGATCTGTTCCTATGTAGTAATTTGACCACACCATATCACCAAATCTTAACATATGTTCCGCTTGGCTGTTTGTTTTTCCGTATGAATATAATGCATTCTTTCGATATGACGACATTATCCCACACCTCTGAAAGGATTAGGATTTCACAGATTTTACTGTTTTACGATTCATACCACTCAAACATATTTGTATCGAGAGACATTGAGCTTGTTTTCGGGTTAGGTATTTATTGTATTTTTACGTCACAGGAAAGACTGCAGGCTTAAAGCATTAGCGCTAAAAATGTAAACCATTTTTGGTTACGATCCAAAACATATGGCGAATAATGATATACCTCCTAGAAATCGGGTATTATCTCCAGTGTTAATAAGTATAATCGTAGTATAGATATAAACGGTGCAAGTTCTAATTATATATAATGTGTAGTTTTCCAATTCATATCACTGACACCCTTTGACAGCACAGACAAATTTTAACTATTTTGTTCATGTCGCTTTTTATATACATTTTAACTCGTATTCTCTAATCTCATTATATTTTCTTTTTTTCCCAGGTCTAAAATTGCAGGAAGTCATCAATCAGTTACGGTAAGTTAATGGGATATTTAGGTAGCTTACTGCAGCACTGAGTCTTGGTTTTTTAACTACATATAATCACCCCCTATTTCTCGGTAGAACGCATTCTCTGTGTCGATATTCGTATTCTGGGAAAGTTTCATGGGTATGGACACGCTTCATCATGAATGGTCGTCGGAACCACATTCTCACTCCTCTTGTTAACTTTTTTAAAAGATTTCTTTTTGTTAAACGTATATTTTAATTGCGATCAATTCGTTGACATCTGTGATACACAACTTCACATTAATTCTGCTTGCCGCGTTGTTGACGACGAGACAATATACCAATGAACAACTAACTACATCAGACTATAACACGTGTTTTATAACACTATTCTGACACACCATATAGATACCGTACATACCGTAATATTTCTCCATGTGATCAATGAGTTTCCGTGAACAATATCCAATAGTTTTTGATTGTAATGTTACAATTAATTATTACTTGCACAGTTGGCATATTAACGACATGTTTGCTATACATTAGGCATCAATCAGACCGTGCGAGTATCTATTATCGTACAATAAGTTTGATAATTATTCTGAATGTTCCTGTCTTTGTCATATCATGCCCTGGAACTGCCGCTCGTGACAGCACTACACATACATTTCACGGTTACGGTCCTGACGTTTAAACACTGACATGCATAATGGAGAAAACTGGGAAATTGACGTACAACATGATCACGTTCGGGAAACGTTTAAAAAAAACAAATGATTTATATGTATTTGACATAAGGTATAGGTAAAAAAAAAGACCTTATAACAGAATTCATATCAATTCATTTCCGTAAAAAAATAGTTGTTTTCAACACAAAGCATTCCCCCTTCACACGTTCTCATTACTTCCAAGGTCACCTTGAAGTGTCTAAGGACCTTAATCCCCTTGACGTAATGGTGAATGTAGCGCGATAAACAGTCTTAATGCGTATTAAATAACTGATAAGAATTCAACACTTTTCGGATTTGAAAAGAAATTCACATAATTTGCAACTGAAACCAAAATATTTTAAAAGTACGTACATACCGATAGATAAATGTAACAGTTCATCTATCCCTAAGGTCACATAGGGTGTGTATTTCAACTCAACAAAATCTGAACCGAGGCTAATTTGTATTATGATGTTAAAGGTATTTGACATAATTTGGGTGAACGCTTTATTGCATACCAACGTTTAACGTTAGGAAGCTAGAAGATTCGTAAACAAATACCCTGAATCTCTGACATGGAAGTGTAATTGATAGTAAGGGAGTATAAAGACAAGGGGGTTTAACGGGATTAACTTCTTGACGTTGGGCATCTTTGTTTAGTTTTCAGCAAATCTCCCTGATAAAGAGCGGAGGTTCCATAACGAGGTGATACTAAAGCACAAAACAAAGTACGGTCACCAAAACAAACCCGGAAAACTACCGGAATGTCATTCTACTGTTAAGATAATGTAGTAAATAGGTGATTGATCACTACCTCCGAGGAAAGACTTCTCTTAACGTTAGGAAATGCTTCTTCCTCGCAGTTCGTGAAAGTGGCATTTAAAATTAGCTTTATTTAAAAACACAGTGGCATCTTTGGCACATTCCTAAAGATAATTCCTCTCATGTCCCCTAGAGACGAAATAAACTGTACGTTTCCCTCTTGAATTTGTCAATGCATCTGTGAGAAAATAAAACTATAACTTTCGTTTGATATAAAACCGCCAAAATGATAGTGTATATTGTTTTACCCTTTCGAGAGGGGTAAACATTCTCCCCGCTATCGTTGTAACCACTATGCCTGCAGACCCTTTCATATCTGTAAGTGGACATAATCTCCTGGGAAGGGTTATTCGCTACGTCGATTAGCAATAACCGATAACACTGCCAAATAAATGGTCAACATATCTTCCATGTAGGGGGTCTTGTAGTATTTGAGTGTCCGGTCAAAATATTTGTCTTAAGGGGACTTGAAGACGACAATTGCCCAACCCTGAATGGTCACTTTATGTTGACTTAGGATGCCATAAACAGTTAACTGGTGGCGTGATAGATTATACCTTAACCATCATGTCACCTTCACGTGTCTACTTCCGGTGTGGAAGTGTCAGAAGTCAGAACAATTTACGACTTCGCCTTGCTCCCCCATCACATGTAAACATGTTTGTCGTGTCTTTAAAGGACGGCTATAAGGTGAAAGAGTGTTTTTTCACATTCATACGCATTCAAGTAGTATCTTACAAACGGTTTTGATTGTAGCTTTTAGCTTAATCTCGGTAACGTAGAAATGGTTTATGCATTCTACTCTTTAGTGCAAACTTAAATACCAAATCAGTCACTATTTGATAGCGATTTAAAGCAATATATCCTTGTATTTACATCGAGAGTTAGACCATATCATCAGAGACGAGGCATAGACTTCTGATCTACCCGGAGTTCTGTCGGAGGTTCGTGTCGACTTGTGTTCGCTCTACCCTACGTATTGGGCCTCCCGCCATTCTGGAGGATTTGCATTATAATCTGCAATAGAAACTATGTATCAGGCTGTTGGTATTAGTCCGTGGTTATTAACCTGTGGTCACGTGGTCGAAGGTCTGGTATGCGATTCGTAACAAGGTGGCCTTAAGGAAACACAGGGATATTTTTTACTAGTGTACTACTTAAGTTATCTCCTGAAGTCTTGTTTTTTTCTGATTGATCTGTTATTTCCCTACGGTTTTGTTTATGCATGACTTAAAAACATTAAAGGGGGCGAAGTGTATGCATTTGTTTAAGTGTATATTATAGGGAAAATATTGAAAGGGGGATTGAAGGGGAATTGAAGGAAGATGTTTAAAGTTAGGGAGTGGTGTGTAGGTAGTAAATTATCATCCACTCCCAAAAGAAAAAAAAACTCTAGGACAAAACTCGTTATATATTATATTTAATATTCCTTTTTATTGTTGCTGCATATAAAGAATAAGAAATAAAGAAAATATAAATAAATACTTACCTGACTTTGAAATTGTCGTTACTAATACTGTAGACCTGTGTTTCATTTCAATGCAGAGAAATAATCTTCGCATATTTTTTTCAGATACTTTTATCTGTATAATTTTAAAGCTATCGTATTTCATTCCTTGCGGCACATAATTTTGTGAAAGCGTTCATCGCGACAGCAACATTCTTTGGTTTCATTTACGCATTCTTGAATTTTAAGTAGGCCATCAACATCATGCTTCATTCTGACTGTAGACCGATGTTAAGCGCGTCTGTACTATATGAACTAAGTCTGCATTCGATGATCTGTATAAAAAGGTAAAAAAAATCCAAAAGGTTTTCTTAAACAGATGTGATGTAATGCTATGTACCTGTCGATGGGGGCACTCGCACGTAAGCACGTAAATCATACACAAATCGAACATGCATTTTTGAATAAGAAAAACCCCTAAAGACTTAGTAAGTTATAAACCGCATTCAGAAAAACTATGTTTGGCCTGAAATTTAAAACTTACCTAGTGAGTCAGATTTTGAACTTTTGAACAAATAAAATAGCCACTGTTTGTTGAATTGCATGAAATGTGATCTACAATGGGCTCTTTGATGCTCAATACTTCCCCCTCCTATTGCTTCTTAAATTATGACTTTAAAAATTATGGCTCATACTTGTAGTACAGACATTAATCATTGAAGTTTTGAACTCAGAGCATACCTGGAATATATCACAGATGTTACAATGATTTTACTAGAACATACAAAACAAACGGCAGGATGTCCAAATCCCGCCTTACCGACTTCTGTGTAAGTACTTGTTGTAATTATTCATAAACGGCATGCATACATATTGTCATCGTATTGGAAAAGCCATTATTATTTATTTAGCTTTGTTAAATAATCTTCTCCTTCTTCATTCTTCGTTGTGTCGAAACTTAGATTAACTGATAGGTAAATACATCAATCGTGGTACTAATATTATTACTTTATCTACATATCCGTATTCATTTATAATGACATGGATGCTCATTTGACCAAATTTTCATAAATTATTCTGCATTCAAAGTGATGCAAGTTCATGCTTAAGCTTGTATTATTTAAAACGTTTTCATACGTAAATGTTTTCAATGGCTGTTTTAATAGCGACAAAACATTGATCTTATTATGTATGTATACTTCACAGTATGTGTAGTGTATATGTGCGACTTTTGTCATATATTTCTGTACATGATACTGAGACGTTAAGTTGCATGTGCGTTTTAACAGTCACACAATCTACATAAAGATTGTTCTAAGTAACAAATCTAAACGGTGGGGTTTATGCAAGGGTGTATCTGTTACACACTGCACAATACTTACTGTACATATGTCACAGTATCAATGTATTGCAGCAAACCAATATCTGACACATAGAGATCTCTACTCTGAAAAAAATGGGAACAAAACCCTTCACAAGATGTGTTATCTGTAAACAATGCAGAAAGACTGCTGTCTATGCATAAAACTTTATGAACTGGACACAATGACGCCATTGTTGACCCAGAGATATTACATTAATACATTGTAATTCCTGTTCAAAGTAATAAAGCTTTGAATATGCTCACATTTACGCCGTACCTTTTAGACTGCTCAGCTCTAGAACAAAATGTTTAATCGTCAACATCAAAATAGCATTACCTTTCAAAATACACGCTTTATGTTGCACTTTTTTATTAACCAAAGAAATCTTATTCTAAATGTTACTTAACGTAAACATTATGATTTAGCTCATGATTATAGGCCGTGCAAGGAAGCCACCAAAACTTCGAGCATACGTAACGATTATTTTAGTCGAGACAGTATTTAATACAAGTACTGTTATAGTCATACTAAACGTAGTAGTAATATGTACAAAGGAAAACGTAATTGTGGATGGTTTCATTGTACGGACGGTTTGATCTGTGTCAGTGACAGTATAAGGAACCGTGTATATCAATATTTGATGGACAAATACACTCGTCACTGTCGACAAACTTTCTCCAGCCATCTACCTTCACTATATACATACAGACAGACTTATCCAACCATGGTCTGGATAAATTTTCTATAGATGAAACTGCAGAAATCAAATTTACCTTTATCTACAAATCTGTCCTTTATTTTCACACAAAGAGGTGGAAATACGATATTTATAAATGATTGTATAGTTAAGACGTTTAAATGGACACGGGTTTAGTGTTTGGAAGTCAGGATATACAGAGCATAATATTTATCTTCTGTGACAACAGTTGTCATGATTAACGCCTAGCCTCTCCTTAAAGACTAGCGTATATCCTAATCAGATAAAAATCCGGTCTATTCTTCAATAGAACAGCCCTGATCAGACTTGTCATTATAGGAAAAAGTGTGATTTAACACGTTTTAGTTTAAATAATTATCATATTTTTTGAAAAAAATACCAGCCATATAGTGCCAACCATGAACAATCTTTGCACAATTTTTGCCACGATGCTGATAAACATTGTGATTTCTAGTCGAATTATGAGTCATTGACAAAAAACTCATATGGTATGCGGTAGGTTCTTACAATATATACAATTTAGGCATAAATATATCGATAACTGAACTTGTACACATTCGGGTCTTGATACAAAAATCAATTAAGTGTTAGAATAATAAAAAAATAACCCAAATTCATTTATATTTATAGTTATTTTTGCACGTGATTTCATGCCAGTTTAGGGCGTGAGATTATAGCGTGTTTAGAAATAGGAAGCTGTGTCTTCTCATCTTGTTAACAAATAATACCCCACATTACCTATCCCAAGGTCAGTCCTGCTGACCAGGGAGACCAGACAGTACGGTTGGCCCCGTCCTCCTCGCCAGACAGAACTGTTAGTTTGTTGTATAACCGCACTGCGGACAGACTAAGCCGGATTCCTTGTTATACAGCCACAGGCCCCTGTCCGAATAGTCAAGTATCGATCCAAAACCCGTAATAATGCGGGAATGACACGATTTAATTTATAGGTACAAACGTTTAAGCTTTTTTTTAAAATGTAGTCATGTTTATGTGTGCACGTCCTTGGTGCGGAAACTAGGTCTGGATTCGTTTTAGTGAGATAATTAGACAGGCGATACGATTGAAGTTTGGGGTTATTTTAAGATTGACACAGAGAAATGCCTGTCAAACACCAAGAAAGTTGTCGTCAGTCATTCTAATGGCCTTTTCATCACAAATAGAATTCATTTGATTGGAAATCTGATTTAATTATACGCGATGTATATGACTGAAAAATTGAATACATCACGCCATGAACTGAAATATTTTCATAATTAGATAAAAACGTTTTAGTGATACCTGAAATCAGAGTATAAGTGAAATTTATTTAATGACCACATAGGAACATAGTGTTGCAATATAATCAGCAAAATAATAATATCCCGCCATTGTTTATATTCTACAGACGACAAGATGACCTTGACCCAAACGTCAACGTACAGTTGGATGTTTTCGTAGAACACAAGGCTAATGACGATGAACAGCTTCCTGGGGCAAAGGGTGTGGACCTTAACTGCTCCCTCGATGTCTTCCACACAATCTTTAAAACGGTGAGTACGTCTGTCCTCAAAGGGACCCTATGATACTTTATCGGAGTCAACTATTCACCTTGTCGCCAACGTTCGTCACGAGAGTCGCCTATCAGAATGATAGGTATAGCACAACGCGTATGGTTAGAAGCATCTCTGTAATTGTATATCCCTTAAAAGTATGAATATAATAGGTATTGACTTTGTATGAAATATTAAGTTTATAAAAATGTGTCTTTCAATATCGTCAGACCCCTTTATACCTGCAACGTTAAATCGACTACATTATCACATCATGTATGATGATTTGGTTGCTATGCCATCCAGTAGTGTGAATTATCACTGAAACATTTATCACGTAAAACATATGAATTTGATGAGTTTGACAAATACACAATCCCGGATTTATCGCATCTGACTAGATTCTGGCTTTGGCTAACAGAGAAAATCATTATAGCAACCGGAACTGACGTTGTAGATCTCGTGTGGATAGGTTATAATGAAAGGGACCCAAATACAGAGACATATGGAAAACTGATTGTAGAGAAAATAAGATATACAGACATGAAAAGAATGTCAATATGAAAATGAGGTAAAAGAAGCGCGATTTTTTTATTGAGATGAAAAGAATGTACGCAATAAATCAACGCCATCTTTTCTTGATGAGATTGTGCTTACCTGAGAAGGAGCGACGTTGCTCCTATTGAACACTTTTTACACACGTGCGTGCGTGACATGCATGCAGATTTACCTTGAATATGTCGGGTATGAACTCTGAAGATATCTTTAAACCTAAGGCGGAGTTTTGCGTACACATCTGATCAGGAATCAGTACGTTGTGGTATATACTAAATAAGTAGATGGCTTTCCTTTCAAACATCATCAGCAGATATCATACATTACATGTATATCACTTGTTTTATACCAATCGTCGGTGTACAGGATAGTGCCTGACACGATAGTCAATTCAATATAAAGGTGTAGAATCTTAGAAAGAAAAAGGTTAATGTAAAGATATACCTAAGATGTAGATTTAATTTATATATGTCTGTAGTGATATCTGTTCAATGTCACATTTATATTGTATAGATTTAACTTCCAATAGAACACAATAACAAACATAAATATTAACAAAAAATTACAAATATAAACATGAACATACACAATTTGTCATCTTTGATTACCACTTACATAACACATGAATCACACCCTACATATTAAAGACTTCCCAAGGTCCTCAGCTTGTACCTAAACCGTTATTTCTACATCAGTTAGGAGATATATCAAACAGGTTGCATATGAAAACGGACATAAACCATAACTCTTACGGTGTGAATGAACTTAAATCATGTTTGTAATAGAAAAAATGTTAAACTAGACAAAATACAAGTGAATTATATCAAACTTGCCTATATATAAATATATATGTATCACTCCAAATTGTCGTCCCATTAAACTGTTCGGACCACCACTGTGTTGTCACAGACTCTATCGAGCTGGCAGTCCGAGGGGTCTCGATGTTTGGATGTCCTGAGACAGTAAAGTCGTTAAGTCACCATAACATTGTCTATCAGTACTAATCACCCTGTGTGAGTTTTGATGATCGGCTTACTTTTGATGTTTTTGTTTACGAACTTATACCCACATATATAATATGAAGGAGTGAAGACCTCGTCCTAACTGTCCTTGGGTCTGACGATTACACTGATACCGGTTATGACCCAAGTACTAAGCTACCTTTAATACCGTAATAAACACTTCCACCATATGGAACACATCAGATATATTATAGACATAAACCTACTCCTTTTGTGTCTAAACCGAATGTACAAACACATTATTGAACAAACAACAGCCAAGTGATTGCTTTGAAAACAAGAAACAACGCCCTCGCGCTTCGCCCTGTGTTTTGATTAGCTAGCTTTTATTTGGACAAATTAATCGATATAAATAGGTTGGAAGGTTGGCCGGTGCAGGGATATGTTAATCCCCACTGCCTGACTAGTAAATGTTAGACGTTTGTCGTTGGTCATTTAACCGGCCGTAACGCTGACAGGGCGGCAGCACCTCAGCTGTCAGACTGGACGTTAAACTGTTATCATGACAACACAATGTGTGAAGGTAGGGTGACAGTAACAATGGCGAGTGTGTACGGTCACCTCCGTCAAATACAGATAGGTGTCAATTCAATTTACCTGCTGAAATCGTTTGATGGCTGTCTGTACATTAATATAATGAATATATATTTTAATTGTCTGGTGTTTTTCTGTCTAGTTTTTATTGTTATTACCATGATAAAAAGCTCGGAATTTATTTCTTGCGATTACATAAAATATTTTCTTGAGACTACAAAATTAAGTGACGTGTTTAGTTTTGTTTTATATGTATATCAACGTGACGGCGGTGTATATCATTTATTTGATGTGCTTTCTCAATAATTTTGCCAATGCAGAAAGAGCAATGATGCCATTGACAGTGATACATATTAAAAACAAACTCTGTCAAAGAAAGACTTAGCCAATATTTATTTATACATATGTGATATGTATTTTTGGTAATCTATTACACATTGATTTATCATTATTTAAGTAAAGACTCTAAAGATTGTGTTCCTCCATTACAGGTGGACGATACTCCACAGGAAATACACTTCCTCACGTGCCTACAACACATGCTAAAAATAGACCAAAACGATGCCAACTGTGACATAATCTGGCAGACCGTAGAAAAACTAGTATGTAGAGCAACGCTTGTGGAATCTGAGGCGGACGCACAAAAACTGTTGAGGAAACGTGAACGGTCGACGGACGGCCTACAATGTCCGAACTGCAAGGCCCATGAACGCGTTACGTCACCACGACGGGGAAATAGTTCTAGTTCTGTGGCTCTGCCCGGTTTGACAGACAGCAATGAGTCCACAAAAACTGTGCCTACACCGGCTCCACCGGGACCACCACCACCACCTCCTCCCCCAGTACCGGGAGGGGCGCCACCACCGCCTCCCCCTCCTCCGCCAGGTATAGGTGGCGCACCACCAGCCCCACCACCTATGCCAGGAATGCCCTCTGTCCCTGGGGCTCCCCCTCCCCCACCATCTTTCAACATGAAGGGGCCCAATGCCCGTAATGGCGTCGTAATTAAACTACCTCAGCAAAACGTGCCCAAGCCGAAGACAAAGATGCGTTCTTTACAGTGGCAGAAAATCCCAACAAACAAGGTGCTTTCTGGGAAACCAAACATTTGGTCAACAGCAGGACGTCGCTTCAACGGTTACGTTAGTAATATGGATTTTGAAGCGATCGAGGAACTCTTCAGTGTGCCTTCGCCTCAGGCACCAGCTATTTCGACTAGCAACAACGGTTCATCGGGCACACTGGAGCGGAAGAAGAAGGAATCAACAGAGGTGAATATCTTTTTAGCTTCCTTTTATGATTCAAATTTGCAAGCACTAACTTAAGTTGGATTTTTTTCGAAAATGTGGACCCGATCTCTTTCTAATGAACCTTGACATGCGAATTATGTTCTTCAAAGCGCATGCGTGATGATCAGAGGAACATATCATACATGAAATCTATTTTGACAAGTTAAATGAAAGGTAGAAACCGATGTAAGATTATCAGATAAGGTGATATACTTTAAAACTTCTGCTTGACTTACCTGTATATTCAAACGTATATTCTGAAAATTGTGTATAATGGGGGATAGTGTATGGCCGTCAGTCACAGTGGGTAGGTGATTCAGCACTTCCTCCGACCCTAGATTATAGATCTAACCTGTCCAGTGATGAGTCAATACACAGACACACAGTAAGTTAAGGAACAAAGGCGAATAGTGATAACCTTAGGCATTAAAACAAATTATCTCTTGTCCGATTGTCTCGCTTGAGCAACCCCGATGGTGTATAATAGGACTACCATAACTTATGCTAATATATTCTTGAACAATGATTTCCACAGTAACTTTAACACATTCTTAAAAAGACGAGACACTTACCTTTCATCTCCGCAAAAAAGGTCAAATCTTACGTTTGAATTTCAAAGGAAAGGTCACTCTACAATGCGTTAATGATAAAGAGGAAGGGGAAGGTTGCTCTCTTGTTCGATGAGCTGAAGTGGTTAGACGAACATGATGCTAAATATAGCTTAGTTGCTGTCTAAAAAGTGTAGACTTCAGATTTTATCACATTTTTGCAGAGGAATTCGTTACATTACATATTAAACGACCCCGGTCCCCCTTTAATATGAGGTAGGGATTCGTTATACGGCCTGTTTTCATTGACATAGAGACACTTTTTCGGAGGTATTAGGTTATACAGACTAGGCTGTGTTATCAGATAACTTTCATTGACGAAAAAATGTCGACTGGTTAAGTATTGTATGTAGTACGGACCTACACGACGACTTAATGCGATTTAAAACAAGTCAAGATACGTCAGATTCATAACGGAGAATACGCCATGGTAATGACAGTAGCGACCTCAGAACTCCCAGCCTAACATGAGAGTACTGAACTGGAAGTACCATGGGATTGGTGCAGATTGAATACATTGACAAATTATCTTGGTTTACATATTGAAGTTAGAAATAACATTGCACAAACCTTTTAATATAATTTTGAATGACCACAAGACCCATATGAGACTGGATTACAAGTTTAATGTATTCAGCAGTTTTAAAACTTATGCATTCTTACGGTTGGTAATGTTAACCCATTCAGAAAAAAAACATCTTTCCACCTTGTGTCACGTGTATTCTCCATGTCGCATTACTGACGATCATCTAACTTTTTACCTCGATTCAGCATTCCGCTTGATATGTTGTGGGTAGCTGTGGGCTTAAGTGACACTATATTACATATGATTAGGGTTAAGGAGTGGTAACCCCAGATACATAGATATTATGTACGTAAGAAATCCATGGCCCTCGGGCCCAAATACGAGCATGTTTTGTGTCACTTTATCTGTCGCAGCAACAAAGACCTACTTGTGAAGCATGAATACAGGATGGACGGTATCGGTTTAAAATAACATACTTGGAATAGTTTATCCTTTCCCGTGCGCTGTTTGAATTTACCAGTTTGTTTGTAAAGTATTTAACGCTTTCTGAATCTTTTATGTCTACCATTTACAAATTTAAAGCTTTGCATTTTTTCAGCTGAAGTGTTTTACATCAGCAAAGATATGATCACATGATCGATACAGACAGTGTCAGATGTTCCGGAATTGAAATTATCTATCTTGAGGGACCTATCCTATTTTGTTGAAATGTAGGCATTTTCAAAGCATTATGATGTATACCACACATCATTATAATAAATGGACTTAAAATTCAAAATACGCATTCGACTGAAAAGTATAGCTAACAGACACATTTAATGGACGCCTACATATTAATAATGTTTTTAGTCGACTGAGGAAGAAATTCTTTCATAGATATATCGTACTGATAAAAACGATACGCAAAAATTAATGCAATTTCCACAAAACAGTATTGTATCATTAAGATTTGTCAATACTTTGATACTGATAGTAAATGACTTCACGGGGGTTGTTTTGAAACCCAAAAATTGGTTGTAAATAGTATCAGTCTATATTTTGACGGAAATCTCTGCGCACTATTTTCGCTTTTAATACGTTTTTAAGTGAGTTATATTCAGTAGTTTGAAGCTTAGTTAAACATTTATCACTTTTTAAACATAAAGCTATATATATGTCAGTGCGGATATTGTGTAGCATAAAAGCTGTCAAGTAGCCCAAGACCATGATTAGATAAAGACAAATATCTGAAAATGCACCCGTTCGTTTTCATTTCCGAAGCAAATTAAAAAGAACGCAGAATATGACTAGCTTGTATTCCTTTTGTTAGGTGCATTTGCACGTATTAGAGGCTCTGACGTAGAGATGACAATAAAATCTAGTCCCCATTTTAGATTTAATCATAGAATATTCTAAATGCCTGTTCCAACAGATAAAATGTCCATATTGTAAACCTCTTTATATGAACAGTGCTGGTCGTCCTCCTAGATTGTGCTCCATAAATGTCGACAGAACCGGCGGTAAAAAAATAAATTATCAAGTTGATTGGAATTTTAGGTCTTGAATACACAAATGGCTTTATCGGTTAAGCGTTCAATTTATCTTAATAACGATCCAACATCTACCAACAATGTTTTGTGTGTCAATTTTGTGATATTGACAATAGGAAATTTAACGGATCTGTCCTAATCCTTGGTAAGACCGTACAAAGTGCCTGGACTAGATAGGTAGGGATAAACCCCGCAGGAGGTCTTCTATGTGACCAGCTAGCGTTACACGCAAAGATATCATTCAATACCCTTTAAACGTCCTCTGTTCTTCAAAATCAATCACATAGATATGTTCGTAAGATCACAGTTTAACAAAACCTATATATGACGTTCAGATATAGAGAGCATGTCTGTATGTATATGCGTACGATCCGCTTAAGTAAGGAACAAGTAAAACCCCAAATCGCGTATGTATTACTATATGGCATTTTATATCATGCTGTATGGTTGTGTATATTTTAACAATACAATTTATATAGCTGTCACCTGTATTTAGTTTTAGAATGGTTTCCACTTTATTTTTTCACAGAAATCTTGATAAGGTAATCCTTAGTTGGAATATGACGACCTTAACGTTGTGACGTTGATGTGCATAGATCCTGCTGGGTGGTGATATAATTGGGCTTTGTAAATGACATGTTTGTGATGATAACAACGCCACGGATTAAGCAATGATCTTTTGGTCCGTGGTGCATTTTCACGTAGAGACGAGACTATTTCAAGGGCAACTTGATCCAAGACAAACCACACAATCTCACTCAAGTGCTACTAACACAGTTAAAACAATGATTGGGCAATTTTCTGTTTCGTACACAGCACAATCATAAATAGTTTTCTTAATATTTCGGCTTAATTCGGCTCAAAGGTTTCATTATTAAGCAATATAAAATAGTATTTTATACAAAAATAATATATTACAGTAGTATACTAGTCAGTATTGTATTTCCCTGTTGTTTTTTTATCACCCATTGCCAAACAGGAAAACCACTCCACGTTTAGGCAGTTTAAATTATCCAATAAGAAAGTAGCACATAGATGAAAGATCAAAAGAAAGATGGACATTCGATAGAAATGTCATCGTATTTCCGGTCAAGTTACCCCAGAGTCACTCCTTCCGTAGGTCGGAAAGACTGCCCTGTGTACACAGTACACTACGGGAACGCGAGTTTATTCATGTAAAGTCCAGATAGAATCTAACTTGATTTCAATTTAACTCCGGAATAACGTATAATTAAGGGTCGTTTCAGGCAAAGAGCTTTATCAGATAGGGAAATCTGGACAAACGAATCTTTTCAGTTTAGGAACATTAAAATGTAAGGTCAATTGCTTGGAGAAATATGTGAGGTCGCTTTGAACGAGTCGATTGTAGACAGGTCGTGGAAAACGAATTATAAATGTACATATCAGATAAGGGGTGTTGACCTATTTACTAAATAGTGTGAAGTAAACGACTTGTAATTATATTGTCATGAGATCGGTCGACAATGTTACGGGGCGATTCTTGTCCTTTCCACTTCCATAATACTGAACCGTTTCCTTAAGCTTTTATTCCATTTTACTTCATTTAATATTTTACATAATGATTAATCATTCGAACAGACTAAATTGCAGTACGGTGAAAAATAGACCTGCAAATGCATTGTTTTTTTGTGTAGTTCTTTGTCATCGAAATATTCCGAAGCGCTTTTTAACTGTTCACTTCGCTATTATCTACCATTTGCCCATTCGCATTAACGCGTTCATCAGAGTATTTTGTAAGTTTAGCTCCTCATTCTGATTCTTTTAAGTGTTTTTGCTCCTCATTCGGGGTTCAGCTCATGTTTTTCTTAATTTGTTTATTTATTATCCAGAATCTTACGATTATATCTACGCATTTATCTGATTTGTCCTTCTATTCGTTTGTCTTTTTGTTGAGTGTTTTCAATCCTTCCCTTGTTATATGATTCGATTGGCCTTTTTTAACAGATCAATCTTCTAGATGGCAAAAGAAGTTTGAATGTAAACATCTTCCTGAGGCAGTTCCGCATGCCAAACGACCAGATTGTCCAGTTACTGCGTGACGGAGTCAGTGAGAGGTTTGAATCGGAGCGTCTCAAAGGCTTGCTAAGGATTCTACCAGACCAAGATGAAGTGAGTTAGTTTGTGAAACAAAGTACAAGTTTTATTAATCTAAAATTTCAAATGTGACTCCCATCAACTGTGTATATGACTGATACCCTTTATGTTACATGTTTAGACATAGACTAACTAAAACAACTGTACACAAATAAGACTGATATTTCAAATTTTGATTTATTCTTCCACACAGATTGAAAGGCTACATAATTTCGACGGTGACAAAGAGAGACTTGGTAGTGCTGAGAAGTTCTTTTTATGTCTCCTCGGCCTTCCACAGTAAGTAACAAATTACACACAGATACCTCAGTGTCATTATCATTCTTGTCTTTTAAATGCTACTTTATTGCATTGGAAATTGATATAAATTGTTCTACAATGCAATTAACTGTTTTAAAAGAATGCAATAATCCAGTGTGCAATCTTTTGTTTTAGGTACAAACTGCGAATAGAAGGTATGTTAGTGAAGGAGGAGTTCAAATCCAACATGGATTACATCAAACCTCACGTGGAAGCCGTAATTGAAACTGCAAATCGTAAGTTTCATGGTAACATTCTAGTCAATGTTCATAGGAACTATGTTGACGCCTGCTCTTACTAATAGTGTTTTTTTATTTTGCTTATTTAAATAATATTTTATTGTTTTAAATCTTTTAAATGTACAAAATAATAACCATCATGTGACAGTATGCAAAGGTTACAGTATTCTAATGGTCTTTTTCAAGCGTGTTTGTATTGGAGATAAAACCTTTCGATTCCGTTTCAATGTTAGAGCAATCTTAATATTGTGACAGCCGAGCATGATAGGCTACTGGAGAAAAAGAAAACAATCTATATATAGAAATGATTTTCAAAACGTATTTGTAAGGCGTGGTTAGTAAGCAATTAATGACATATCAGATTAATTACAGTCACTGGATTCGAAATAGTTGCTGTAAATGAATTTATATATTCATATTCGTTTATACAACGAATATATACATATTCCGTATCCACTTGTATATCATATTTTTCCATTTATTTAAATTAAAAATACAAAAAAAATACAACTACTTTTGACTACTTTATTTAAATAGTTTCGAATGATATATATTTCATGATATTGCTATTATAGTAAAGTCTGGTATATATAAACGTGTGTTGATGTTAGGCTTTACGTAGGTGTATGACTAAACACACAGATGTATTTGTTTGTGGCTCTTGAACCAATCCCATTGTCATCTCAGAAAGCCTGTTATTCGATATGCTCAAACATATGTTGTCGTCTGAAAGAGAAATCCTTATTGGCTAAATGGGATACAAACATTTTGTATTGAAAACAAATATCAATCTTTGAAAGTACTCGTTTAACAATTCATTGGTAAAATCATTAACTCTGCTATTGAAGAAGCCTTTATTTAATCCTATACATAAGTAGAGGTCGCGTTCATATACAGGTAATTTTTTTATCTTCCATGATCGCAGCCTTCTCACTGTAGTATTGTTTCTTACTAAAAGATAGAAGTATTGAGTAGATTTTATTCTATTTTATGACCTCATCCCAAACCCTACCCAATGTCAGAAAACAAGGTATTGCTCTTACAAATATGTTTTCTGATGATATCTCGATTTCCACGATACAATACTTACTTCCTTATACAAATCCATATAGGCTCAAAACTGATGGGACGTAATTACTACCGCTGTTTGATATATTTTTTAGACGATTAACAATTATTACAAAAAAAGGCTCTTATCCTGCTCTAGTGCTCAAAGTCGTTTCTATATTTCCCTTTCAGAAATAAAGGCACATGATGATCTGCAAGAACTCTTCTACTTGGTGCTAATAGCAGGAAATTACTTGAATGGGGTAAGGTCATCAAAGCACCTTATTCACTTGGTGTTGTGTTTAATTTTACATTAATCTTTGTAACGCTTTTTTTTCACCGAGTCCTTCAGCAGAAAATAGCATTCACGATATGTTAATAAAGGCCAATTATTTCCCCTATTACGTGGTTTCCTCATGGTTTGAACGGTGTGTTTAACACAGGTTAAAATAGTGAAACTCATGCATCGACTTTTAGTTATATCATACAACAGGTGTATTAATGTCAGTCATGACATCGTATGTAAACCTGAAAAGATATCAAACAGATTTTATAACTGTCTTTATTTATTTTAAAATCCTTCTATATCTACTATTTATATGATTAATTTCAATGGAATTGTGATTTATGAAGATATTTGTTAATCCGATCGTTTCACTGGAAATGTGATATTTTTGTATCTATTTCATTATCTGATTGGTTGTTTCAGGGAAACTATGCTGGCGACGCCGCAGGATTTAAGCTGTCCTCTCTTATAAAATTGACGGAAACAAGAGCTAATAAACCCAGAATGAATCTTCTTCATTTCGTCATAATGGTGAGTTTATAAATATTTCCACTCAAATTTCTGTTCGGGGATTCTGACCATATCACACTGCAATAAAACAGTTCTCCATGTAAACCTATTTTTTTCGTTTTTAAAATGAAGTATGAAACAGCATTATGTTATCGTTAGAACACACCATGGATATTTAAGCCATTTAAGTACAAATACGCATTGTTTACTACAAACGTGGACTAAGCCTCCTTTGAATAATGGATATTACGATGAGTGTGTTAAACCATGAGAAGGGCATCTGCTTTGACCAGGTAAACCCGTGTAACCGATTGAACTGACAATTATTCAGCAGTTTTTAAACTGTAACGAGGTCAGTGGGAGGCGTGACCAGAAAAAAATGTCATTATTATGGTCACTGTTGTGGTCAGGACATGTTTGTCCCTGAACGGTAGCCATTGAAGTAAGCTATAAGGTTCTATCGACATAAAACTGTACGCGTCAAAATAAATGTTGATAAAGATTAAATATAGATTAGTTGTATGGTTTTGTTGTCCATATTGATCAAGAAATACTTACACTTTTTCAGCCAGATATCTCTCCTTTCGTAATAAAGAGATTTAATGATATATGGGTGTTGGATTTATTGTGAGGAAATACACTGTATGCAGGTTATCAAAGAGTTCGATTGAGATAGATGTAGATGGATGATGTAATACTTTAATGAAAATGTACCATACTTATTGAAAATGTGTTATATATTTAATAATCTTGTAAAACATGTGTAGTTAATACTTCTGATGTAATTGATAATACAACTGTGGAATGTTTATTCTTTACAGCAAGCCGAAGATAAAAATCCCGAACTTCTGACCTTTCCAGAAAAATTGAAGTATCTAAAAGATGCAACCCAGTAAGCATTGCAACGGAACTGTTATCTTTATGCACAGACATTATAAATTTAACATACATTTTAAGGAATAGACAATGACAGAGAATGGATGTATATACTTTAATAAAGTACTTTATGTAACTGATCCTATTTGAGTGCCGTTTTGAATATCGTATATAAAGTATTGATAATGATATACATATATGTATATACTTTAATATAGTACTTACTGTAGCTGATCCTATTTGAGTGCCGTTTTGAATATCGTATACAGAGTATTGGTATTGAAAACTGATTATATTGGCTAGTTATTTACACAGCGTTTTGTTTTCTTTAGGGCTCCTCTGGAGTCATTAAGTTCCGACATCACTAACCTTGCCCACAGGGTGAAGGGCATATCTCAGGAACTGGAGACAGTGGGTACTGACTTCAAGGCACAAATGGCTGGGTTTTTAACGGTGAGTTCGTTAATCTGTGTGAAATAGATTTAAAACAGTTAAAACAACAATCTCAAACATCATTCATTCAAAACAATATATCGGTCATTAACTCTTTCCGATGCAAAGGGATATTCCGTGTTGTAAAATTATTGTATCGACATTTCAGGACGCAGAAAAAGATATTAAGGAATTGCAAGCAGATTTGAAAGATATGGAGAGTCTACGCCTTGAGTTAGCTGATTTCTTCTGTGAAGATAGAAACACATTTCGGCTTGACGAATGTTTCAAAGCATTGCACACTTTCTGTGAACGGTTCCAGAAATCAATTGTGGTAAGTTTTTGTTTCTTCAAATTATACCTCAAAGAGAAAGAAATATGTAAAACCTTGTGCACTGTTGTTGATGTAAGTGCGATGTTCTTTCTGTGAACGGTCCAACAAAACAATTCTTACGAGTTGTTTGCATTGTATAATTAAAGGGACCGTATTGTTTAACTGCATTGTACCTTTTTGCTGTGATTGCAGCTAATCTGTATTTATATTCCATTACTTTTTTATTTTCAGGAAAATGAGCAACGGAAGAAGCAAGAGAAAAAGGCAGAAGCCAGACGAAACCAACAGATGAAAGAGAGCGTGAAGAAGGAGACTTCAGGTACATATATGATAGTCATTTTATTGACAGTTCTTATCTCCAATATTGTTGTGTTAAAAAGCTTTTCCTTAAGTTTCTACCTTCACGGATTCTTCACTGTAAAAATTACGTAACTTCATGGTAAAACGTGAAGTTGTTATCTCCTGTCGCCACAAAAATATTAATGTATGCTAGATTTCTTATCATTTGTTATACATATTTATTACAGTAAATTGGGTTGTACGGGTGTGTGACGATTGTTTTTTTCCACTTCAGTGGAAGACTTGAAGTCTCCGGACGAGATGGTCATGGAGAGAGGAGAAGGCGAACAACAGGATGGTTCCATACTGGATATTCTACTAGCAGATGTCCGACGTGGATTCACCGGTAAAAGATTAGGAGATAACAATTTCTCTGTTAAAAAAGTGCAGAAAATCAGCTTGAGTGGAAATAATAACAATACAAAAGATGATTCCGATAACAAAAAGGAAAAGGAGAAATTCCAAAGGGGTGGATATGGTCGGAGCAGTTTTCGAAAGAAGAATGTAGCACCTCAACCAGATGACAGTGCAGATTCCGAGAGTACATGTAGTAGTTTGGATGATGCAAATGATATTAATTCTAACAAAATAACGAAAGGAACAGATGACAATCTTTTTCATATTCTCATGACTGCTGAAACCAAACCCTCGGAATCAAAATTTGAGCGCTTCGGAAGTTTACGCAGAAAACGAAATGAGCGCCAACAGAACAAAACTCTTGATGTTTTTGGTGATCGTGAACGTGCTCAGTCACCATCAGTAGACACAATAAAACAGGAGGACAGTGTTCCAAAGAGATCAAGAACACCAACGTCGGTCGGTGGTGCTAGACCGCGATCCAGTGAAATTGAAGATGAAACTCCTAAAAGACCCGTCCGAAGGGTCCAAAGTATGGTCGAAAAGTCAACGGTGGAAAAAGCTATTGCTAATCACGAATCTATAGAAAAAAATGAAAACACTGTAGCCGAACGCTTGAAACGGAAATTAGCTGGTGGTCGACGTGATTCTAAATCACCCGACCCCATGTCCAATCGTCCGATTACACCTGTTGGAGACACAACTGTCTCATCTGGTACTGATGTTGACACAGGCGATGCAAAAGCATCTCCACGTTGGAGAAGTGGGATTGACTCGACACCACGAGGTCTACAGACCATCGACGAAAAGGGGCGGTTAGAAATTTCTGAGTTAGCTAAAACAAAAGAATCATCAGACACAAAGGATAGTTCAGTAACGAGTTCCATGGAGCAAAGTCGCGATAGAATGCAAAGGCGGTTTAGTGAAAAAGACATTAATGCATCTCACATTAAAACTCTTCTTGAGAATGTTAAACCTAAAGAGGAAACTAACAGTGATGAAGAGCCTCGTGTTTCCATCTCACTTAAGAAAATGATTGGTCGCCGTTGGCATAGTGATCTAGGAAAAACAGACATTGATCAAGTTCTCAAGCAAATTGAGGATAGTGAAAAACGAAAAGAGCCAATTCCAAGCGAACAAGTTGTACCCCAGGCGCAAAGTGAACAGGCCGATGAATCGGAAGCATTAAAACAGCGCAGAAGCAAGCGGAAACTCCGATCTCACCTGTCCATGGAGGATGTTCATACTGCTATGCAAACATTCAAACCGGACACCAATCCTTCGTCGGCTACTGAGGACAACATAACTACAACTGTCACTGCAACTATGCACCCGGTACCGAAATCACCGGTTTCGCCAAAAGGACGTTCGCGTTCTGGTAGTGAAAGCGATAGCAAAACACCAAATAAAGAGAACAAATCGCAGAAGGACAAGGATTCAAGCACCGTTAAGAAGGCCGCAAAACTTGCAGCGAACATGCGATTTAGACTTAAACGTTTCGGTGACAAAGACAAAAGTCAATCTAAAAAATCCAATGGCAGATGGAAGAGTGACGTGCAGCGTGACGAAGTCGATCAGGCACTAAAGGAGGCTAAGAGTGGCATGAGTAGGTCTAAGTCATACGATGAATCTGTAGCGAGAAAAGCAGCAAGTGAAAACGGTCACTTTTCTCTCGCGGATGGAAAAGAGACTGATTACCCTGAATCCGAACGAAGATCATCGCTGCGTGGAAGTGTTGGTCGTCTGAGTGCTAGTGATCCCCGGAGGAATGGTCATTATTTTCCAACGAGTGATAGTGACAGCGAGGTGCCACCAGATGGTACGTCATCCCCGAAACGAGCTTTAAGCTACAAAAGTGACAGTCCTAAGAGTTCTAGTAGGCTGTCGATCAAGTCTACCAGTACTTCCACAGAGACATTACGTTGTGATACACCTTACAGTGACACCGAGAGTTCTAGTACCGATCAGCTAGCTTCATCAAAGCGTTCGTCTGTGAATAGTGACTTTAATTCATCAGAGCCAGTCGCTCCGCCTCGTCGGAGGCCAGTTAGCATGATAGAAAGAAACGAAATAGAAGATGCAATGGTAAGCTCTAATGATTTAGAAGAACAAGATCAATTACCACACACTCTTCTTTCGAAATGGAAGGAGAGACGAGTTACAAATAGGAGACAGAGTCATTATGATAATGTGACTGACGACACGCCGAGTTCTCCACGAGCCAACCATGAGTCACATCCCACACGAACTTATAACGGTTTGACAATAAATCACAAGTCGGAAGGAAGTGGCGACTCTTTCCGTAATGACATTGGCTCCAGGTGTAGCTACGCAAGCAGTAGTGACAGCGCCCGTGATGAAGGGTTCGAGACAATGTCCGGCACGGTCTCTCAAAGAACATCTATGAGCAGTACGTTAGAATCTGAGCTTATCCCTACTTTCAGTCGCAAACCGGAACCCTCTTCAAAGGTGTTTGTTAGCGACAAACTGAATGAGCCAGATATCATCATCCCACCAAAACAGGAAATAACTGTGGCACGCGCGCAAAAGCAATCTGAGTTAGCAGCAAGGAAACAGCGAACGGAATCCTGGACTGAGGCAGTTGTTGCTACAAATCTTAAAGATTCGTCACTGGACTCCTCTATTGAATACTCCGCCACGTCACCGGACAGTGGTCATGGCACATCAAAGGAAGACGTGTGGAGTTCCAACTTGGATCTTGTTGCCACACTTAGGGAAGGTTCACCTGCAAGTCCAATAACAGTTAATCCAAAAGGAGCTCCGATAGCAGTACCAGAAAATTCCGATTTTACCTCGAAGCAAAAGCGCGTTCCGAGTTACATGAAAAACACTGCTTCGAGTGGAACAAGGACTCAGCGAACAACGTCAACGGTAAATGATAATAAGAGGAGAAGCACTTCAGCGAATACATCGACAAAATCTACCACAAAGGCGTCAGTAAGAAATTCGCGAACAAATCTGAACAAATCTAAAACGACCGAATCAAATACAAGCATCGTGTCATTAGTGAGTGGGGTATCCGACATTCAATCGCCATCCACTTCCAAGTCAACTCCGACTAGGAAATCGTCTAACACTAGCACTCGTGCAAGTACACCATTGTCTCGTTCAACGACACCTCACCCACCCTCATCTTCATCACGATCAACAACGCCTCACTCGTCTTCCCGGCCTGTCACACCCCTCGACCGTCCGACAACCCCTTCTCATCGTACACCATCTTCCGGTTCTAAGGGATTGTCTAGGACGCAATCACTACGCGTTACATCAACAACTCCTAGACCCAGTTTAGGATCTTCAGCAGACAAGAAGCGTCTATCGTCGATTGGTACAGGATCAGAAAAACCAAAAGAGAAAAGTGCAACACCACGTCGATCATTCATGTCTCCTACAGCATCGTCTGCCTCCAAATTACGTGATGATGGAGCTACGTCTCCCGTGCCCCCCACGCCGCCACCACGCACAACATCAGCTAGTACCTCTGCTTCCAGCAAAACCACCAAACCTGTCGATACAAAAACCAAATCAAAGGCTCCAGCACCTCCTGCAAACACAACACTCGACCCTTCCCCATTGAAGCGACATAACAGCATGCGCTTACCAGCCGCTAAGGCCGCAGCCAGTAGACTTACGCATAAGGAGTATCCACTAAGTTCTAAAGAGGCTGCAGCACAAACAACGGAGAACAAATCCAAATCAATTATGGGCAGGTTAGGCGGTAACAAAGTTAAGCCTGATTCTGCTGGTCTGACCCCTAAGAAGCTAGCAACAGTCGACGAACAGGGAAACGACGGTGTTGAAAAATCATCATTTATGAAAAGAATGGTTAATAAGGCTAAAGTAACCAGTCCCAAGAAATCTACAGACAAAAAGACAGATTCGACAAAAAAATCAGTGAAAAAGTGATTTCATGACAATGTCCTTCGTGGTGTCGTGTGACGTCCTATCTATACGGATGCAGTGATGTTTTAACGTACATTATGACGTCATTTTTGCGATGACGTAAAGTAGTGGTGACTGACCCCTGAGCTGCGGGGATGTGATATTCTACGTGATACGTCTATTATTATTGATATACTCCTATGTGCCAAATATTTCGGACAGCTATACACCGATTTGTGCCTGACATGCCTCGGACATAATTGTACCGTAATACTGAACTGTATAAGTGCTATTGATGAACTGGAAAGTCTTCACAAAACAATGGGGACTTTTACTGGTGAAGAACAGAATCTATGCCTGTCTAGTCTTTGATAGTATTTTGAAACATGTTTAAATATCTCTGGGTGTTTATGACTACACAAACGGTAGTGAAGCTGTTGAACATTTAAAACAAACCCTCATTTTTGTAGAGAAAGCTAGCTGACATTATCCGCTTTAGGATATTCGAGTAGTAGAAATTGTTTTAAGGATTATACATGTTATGGATTTAAACAAATACATTATTTATTTCATTGTACATGTATAGAGCTGGTCTCAAACTAGACAAACGACAGATGGCTAAGCTATCATTATTTTATATACACCATTGAAACTTACTGATGGCGTGACTGGTTAGTCACTGGTATTTGTATTAAGAATGTTACTACTTCTGGTTAGAAGCATTTGCTAGGGCATATTTTGCATAGTAGACGGCTAAATATAGCCAAACTTTTGAGGGTTTGTTTTAGTTGTTGTTTACGTGTACAAAAACGGTCGATTTATTACAGTGTTCATCTTTCGCGAAAAAATGCATTTTTGACATGTTTACATAAACATGATATTTCGTGAGAATTTTCGATTTGAAAATCGAGAGTCCATGTTCTTGTAAAACCACCGATGATATTACTTACGCAACAATGCAAAGACAAACAGAATGCATTTCATTTTGACACCTTTAAGTTCTTCCCATAGTCCTCCAATCAATCACCGTATAGACCTAACAATCAATTGTACACGCGGTGGTACCGGTTTATTTCGCTGGGTTCACAACGTCAAATTGGAATGCATTTTTTCTGTTAAACTTTTTATTGATTGTTAAATTATCTTACTGCAGGGAAATTATTAAACATTAATCGACATTAAAACATTTCATTATTATCTTACGTGAATTTCCGTGATAAAAATAGTTCATTGATCATGAAATAATTGAAAATATGTCATAGCCATAATTTTTATACAAACGCCCAACCAAAAAAATCACTGGCTTCCTTCGTATGTTGTTCATCATCATTCAAATACATACATACATGTGACTTCATTGGAACATCCGTTCTTTTTAACTATGAAATTTTCTGACGTAAGAATCAGAAGTACTTTTAAGCTAGTATGTTCACGTGTACCATTTCCTCGTCAGCAAGTACATGATACATTTTAGTAAGGTGTGGTTGTGTGGATGCCATTATTTTGTACGAATCGCTAATAGCAAAATTATATCAATAATGTTCTTTCTGAGACCTCGAATGACGGATGTCTACAAACTCTGCATCGGTATCTAATTTTTGAAAAATGACTGCAAATTTCGGAAAATAGATCGCTGTGAAGAATGATACCTAGTAATCATTGTCGTTAACATTTCTAAGGGAGAAATAAATGTTTGTCAATCCTACCTTGTCCTGGTGCCTAGGTGAAATAAGGTTATTTATAAAAGTATTTAATGGTTATATGGGCGTAACCGTGATTTATTCATGTTATTTTATTTTATCATTATGTCTATATCTTAATTCAGTACTGACAAAACATTCAAATTATCTTTCAACTATCATTTTATTGGATCATATCGGAGACAAATGTCTGTGTTTTCATCTCACTCTTCTCAAGAGAAGAAGATGTTTCCCTACATTTATAATAGTATATCGCCTATACACGTGTTTATTTCCGAAATGTATCAATTTTAACAATTCGCTATCATTGTGTATGTAGATATACCATACTGTTTATATAGATACATACATGACCATTTTGATGTCAAGTTGAAATGCCGAGTCATGTCTACTTAATACACTTGTTATGTGATGTTCATGAGGTTAAGTACATAAATTAAACCACCATATATACTGAACCTTGTCTTTTATTTTTTTGTGTATACAGTGAAACTTTACCAAATGAACTAAAGCCAAGTTTTTAAAACCAAATGAATTACTTCTTCAATATCTATCTACTTAAATGTATCTGAATAAGGTAGTTAAACAGAAAATAGAAACATGTTAACTAGAGCCTCCTAATTCCAGACATAGTCTGTGTAAAAGAAGGAGCAATATATTTCTTCAATTCATGAAACATAATATAAACTGCATCAAGACTCTTTCAATCTTTTCAGAGCAGGTTTTTCGACTTAACGAGAGCTTGTAAGCATGTCTATTGTGAGTAACAGTAGTCTACATCTGTGACATTTAATGTTATAATTTCAACAAATACATTGACTAGTTATATAACGTCATAGATAACGTTCACCGTCACATTGGCCTTATAACATTTGGTAACACGTAGTTACTCAGTGGACTCAACAGTTGGCGCTTTGAGAGTCGGCTCTGGTCTGGACTAGTTACACGGGACAACGAAAGCCAATTGAACAAGTTTATCATTGAGAGATTCACTTCTGGATACTCTGTACCATAACCCGATATTATATATTTCCGTGCCTATTTCCGATTGACATTTGACAAAACGACGTCATCTTGTGTACAATATACAGTCAATTGTCTCGGTTATACTCCCCCAACAAAGGTACAACTCTAACATCAATACAACTTACGAGCTATATGATTGCAAACGGATAACAAACACAGGGGTACTTCACTTGAATCGTTACGTTGTTACCTTTGCTTCCAGCTTAGAGACTCTTAACAGTGATATAACTGGGGATGCTGCAACATTTGTTTAAAAACGTGAAAATCTAACTAGAGTTTGCTGAATAACCGGGCTCAATCTTATGTACTTGGAGTACAAATGTGTTTAGATAATTAAAGCGGAGGCCACCGCCTCAATAATATGGTTAATAGAAGTATTTATCACATAACTGACAAATTTTACTACGTCATATGGCAATGTCATAAATATGGTATTACACAGTGTAATAAAACCTAAAGGTGCTGTGATTGGTCAAAACCGTGGGAACATATTCCTTTTATTTACTGCACCGTAGTCAAAAATGGCTGACCAGATAAACACTGGCGACACGGTTAAAATTGACAACAAAGGAACAGGTACTGGAAAAGATACTGTTCCAAGAGGTTTTGCAACATTTGATAGTGTAGAAGTTTCTGGAATTTATTTTAATGTTGAACTTGAACGAGATCGTATTGAGAAGGTCACTGTTACACAGGCCCGGTCAAAACAGCAACCGGAGCAGACGACAAACTTGTATGCTGGGCATGGGGCTGACAATCCCAAAACAAAAAGATTTGTTACTGTAAATGAAGATGAAGTGGGGAATGGTATCCTCAACCAATCTAACAAAAACACTATGAGCAAAACATTCTACGATCTGAAACTTTTGTATCAATTTTTGAAGTTGCCTGAAGTCAATGAAAGTAGGCAAATCCACGATATCCCAGCCTAAAGGCTCGTGTCATATCAATTTATTGAACTCGTCTAATAAATTCAATATGACATGGACACTCATGTAAGATCCTCTATATGTAGCACAGTACCATCCCCGAGTTTGGTTAAAACAATACATATATTGTAGACAGTTCACAGCGTCACAGCATAGTAAAATAGAAACATATGTTCAACGGCACTAACACAGTGTTAAATAGGAAAATATGCAGATAACAACGACACCTCAGAGTGAAGTAAAAACCGCATAGCCACAGCGTCACCAGAACAAAAAAGGGGAAAACAGTATAACAGTGTCACAAAACTCAAAGGCTTAACAAACAAAAAACACGAACCGAGGAGACACCAAAACATATGAAAAAAGCAACGAACTCCTAGAAAACTGGAGGAGAAACAAGTGACCCGGAAGTGTTTCCTTCATCACATGTTTCCCTGAACCCTCCGTTCAATCAAGTGAAATATGTACGTCACCTACGGTCTAATACATCATGAACATAAAGGACACTGTAATCTAACGAAGACATATAAAAAACGATTGGAACTCAACGTAATGTGAAAAGACACTAACAGGAACTGATCTGATATCCTAACAAAGCAAATACGTCTTAATTCTCATAAAAAATATTTAAGTGTTTAATAGAAGATAACTGTACACTGGCCTAAAAATCAAGTGTTTACTATGTATCAACAAATGACAAATGTTGACATTTAAGTAGTTATCATAACTTCCCAGGTGTCTTGTGTTGTCCTTATCGAATTAATATGACATTGCTTTACAATGACGCTGATTCCTCTACTGTGTATGTAAACGAAGCCTTCGGTTGACATCAACATTACCACAGCCACGTAAGACGACAATTTGGCGACACTGGGAGACACTTCAAACGTCAAACTCATCGCTAAAAGATCAAACAACCATAACAGGTTTAATGTAATTGACACATGGATGATTGCAGCTTATGTAACAGTTGCACTTTCAAATGTCAAAATAAGGAATAGACAGCAAGCTTTAAGGTCATGTGACGAATTCTACCTCTTCAAGTTGTTAGATTGTATTTTCCATTTCTCCCACTACAAATTAAAAAGCGATCTTGAGGCTTGGTGGGGGAGCAGATGTCGCTGTAGGGATCTGTTTTTCGGTAAATAACATCATTCTAAAGACATGTATTTCCTTTAAACTAAATTCATGAGTCATTTCCTATCATGTGTGAAATTTACGAAACGGAGGCCGCGATATAATCATTGACTCTGTTGCACAGTTGAGGAGATAGATAAAGCTAGGCTCATCAAGTGTTTCATATGAAAAGAACTGAGTTGTCACCGTCCTAGATAGAAATCCACATGACATCTTAATCTTGGAGAAGTAGACTCTGGTCTTCTAACGCCTCTGACGTTCAGCAGGACATCAATACATGAAGTAAACTTTTTGTACCAACTGTACCTTATCATATAGGCGCATGTATTACATCTAGTTTGAATGCACGTTCTTTGGTCTACTTTGGATGAAACCGGAGAAAATTTGTAGATCTGTTTGATTTGGGATTGTTCACGATCAAATACCAAATTAAACAGAAATATATGTTGCTATAAAAGCATACATTGACTGCGAAATCTTCCCCTTACTTTTTCATTTAACTAGGAAATATATTGACACATAGTGTAGAATATAAAAGCAAACCATAGACCACAGCCTCAAACACAAGAACTATTATACCACAACGTGAACATACAAGAACCATATACCACAACGTCCACACAAAACCATATACCACAACGTCCACATACAAAACAATACACCATAACGTCCACAAAAACCATATACCAAACCGTGAACACACAAGAACCATATACAACGTCAACACACAAAAACCATATACCACAACGTCCACACAAAACCATATACCACAACGTGAACACACAAAACAATACACCATAACGTCCACACAAAACCATATACCACAACGTCCACACAAAACCATATACCACAACGTCCACATACAAAACAATACACCATAACGTCCACAAAAACCATATACCAAACCGTGAACACACAAGAACCATATACAACGTCAACACACAAAAACCATATACCACAACGTCCACACAAAACCATATACCACAACGTCAACACACAAGAACCATATACCACAACGTCCACACACAAGAACCATATACCACAACGTCAACACAAGAACCATTTACCACAACGTGAACACACAAAACCATATACCATAACGTCCACACAAAACCATATACCAAAACGTGAACACACAACAACCATATACCACAACGTCCACACAAGAACCATTTACCACATCGTGAACACACAAAACCATATACTGTGACGTCCACAAAAAAAACATATACCAAAACGTGAACACAAAAGAACCATATACCACAACGTCCACACAAAACCATATACCACAACGTCAACACACAAGAACCATATACCACAACGTCCACACAAAACCATATACCATAACGTCCACAACGTCCACCATATACCACAGTGAACACACAAGAACCATTTACTACAACGTCCACACAAAACCATATACCACAACGTCCACATAAAACCATATACCACAACGTCCACACACAAAACCATATACCACAACGTCCACACAAGAACCATTTACCACAACGTCCACACACAAAATTATATACCACAACGTCCACACAAGAACCATATACCACAACGTCCACACAAAACCATATACCAAAACGTCCACAAAAGAACCATTTACCACAACGTCCACACACAAAACCATATACCACAACGTCCACACAAAACCATTTACCACAACGTCAACACAAGAACCATTTATCACAACGTCCACACAAAACCATATACCACAACGTCCACACACAAAACCATATACCACACCGTCCACACAAAACCATATACCACAACGTCAACACAAGAACCATTTATCACACCGTCCACACAAAACCATATACCACAACGTCAACACAAGAACCATTTATCACACCGTCCACACAAAACCATATACCACAACGTACACACAAAACCATTGACCACAACGTCCACACAAAACCATATACCAAAACGTCCGCAAAATAACCAATTACCACAACGTCCACACAAAACCATATACAACAACGTACACACACAAAACCATATACCACAACGTCCCCCGAAAACCATATACCACAACGTCCACACAAAACCTTTTACCACAACGTCAACATAAGAACCATTTATCACAACGTCCACACAAAACCATATACAACAACGTACACACACAAAACCATATACCACACCGTACACACAAAACCATTTACCACAACGTCCACACAAGAACCATTAACCACAACGTCCACACAAAACCATATACCAAAACGTGAACACACAAGAACCATTTACTAAAACGTCCACACAAAACCATATACCACAACGCCCACACAAAACCATTTACCACAACGTCAACATAAGAACCATATACCACAACGTCCACACAAAACCATTTACCACAACGT